AAAAAAAGTTATTGTTAGCGTTAAGTATGTAAATGAGGAGAGTGATCTCATTCAGAATTGTGACGTCACCTCACACTATAAATTCCGAGTCTCAAGTGAAGATGAACGAGGTGAATTCCTGATAGCGACGAGCTTTGGTGAGCTTAGTAGCAGTGAACGAGAGAGGTGTCCGATAGGATCAAATAGTTCCAAGGCGATTTTGAAGGTATTCGATTTATGGATCGACAATTATAGAAAGTCTTGAGAGTTTGAGGAAATAGGTTCCTAGTATATTGAGGTGACGATTAGGATCTTTAATTTATAAGAAATATTGTTTATAAGTTAAGTCTTTGATTTTTGTCGAATTCCAAAGGGGAATAGAATTAAGTTAGAAATAGATTGATTTGAGTTTGTCGGGTTGATTCTTGTTGAATTTCATTGAATAAATTATTGTTTTGATTTTCACTAAATACTGTATATAGTTTATTACTAGAAGTTTAATTAAATATTTGATTTTTGTTATTGACAAACTTTGTCATTATTTAATTCGGTGCACGCTTAAAGTCCAGGCCTGGCACACTAACGCGAATCTGTGTAAAGTACCCGTTAGGGAACGGCTATTTCCGGCACGCAGTAGTGTCGATAATCGTTGGAAAAGTCGGAAAAATAATATAGTACTTTACAGCATTACAATGCAAATTACAACATATATTGATCATCAGAGGGCATTACATTTGTGTCTAAATAATCACAAGCTTGACATTAAACACAAAACTACTGATAAAAATCATATAAAATTCAATGCTTTTTCCTGTAGATTGTTTCAGAACTGAATTCCAGTTTGCAAACTGCAGAACTGTGACAAAATTGAATACATTTTAAATAAACTGTAACATAAAATAGTAAATAAATGTTTTTAACATAATTATTATATATTTGCATAAAGGCTTTGCTTGTGTAAGTACAAGTTAAGTGTTTTTTAACAAGATGTATGTTTCACAAAGAAATAAAATATCTGACTAACTCATTTGCTTGATGATTTCTACTGTTGTCTAAAAAGCCTAATTTTATGAGTTCTCACATACACTTTGATACTTTGTAATTGTTTGATAATTTTTCCTAAATATGAAAACTAATTTCATAATGTATAGATAACAATTTTGACTCCATTTCTATAGTTTCCTTACCTTTAGGGATGATTCCTGGATCTGTAAATGTGGCTAGTGTGAAATTAGCTATAACAAAAAAGGTTATGATTCCTTGACATATAGGTACAGCAATATGATAATGAATTGTCAAATAAGGACATCTGGAAAAAAAATAAAATTTTGTATTAAAAATTGAATAAAATATGCATAATTTCATTTAATCATTTACATCTATTTTCTTAATTATCATATATACAGTAACATTTCAATTTCTGATTTTCTTAGTAGATAACAGAAAGCCATTCAACACCTAATAAAAAATTAAGTATCTATCAATATCCCTATGAAATAGTTTGACATAATAACAATTTTATATAAGACTAATCTTATAACAAATTAATTAATTAATTCTAATCAGTAATTAATTAATAATTTAGAAATATTTGGAAAAATGATCAATCCAGAGGACAACTAACATGTGAAACGATTGCTGGATTAAATTGGGCTACTTTGGTTTATTACTAAAATTTTTGTCTTCACACATCCTCACAACCACAGGAACACACAATTACCAAGAACAGAGTCGACCTTTCTTTTGCGGCTCTTATGAATATGTAAATTGAATAAATGTCCCTCTGACTCCAGATTCTTATAAAATTTACAAAAATCCAGGATGAAATAATTTTTTTAATTATCAAAGATATTTCTAAAAATCTTCTTAAAAAATATTCTCATTAAAATATCTTTAATATTTTAAAAAATATATTTCATCCTGGCTTTTTTAATTTTACAAGAATCTGATCAGCCAAAGGGACATTTAATCAATTTACATATTCGTAAGCAGGGAAGAGCCTCAAAAGAAAGGTAAGCTCTGCTCATGGTAATTGTGTTTTTCTGTGGTTGTGAAAGATATGCGAAGATATCAAAATTTTTAATTTTATTTAGTCTTCGATATTTTAAACATGATGACTTTTCAAAAAATTATATGGCATAACATCCTCTTGTATTGAATCATTTATTTTATTTTATTATTTTATTTCTCACTATTGGTGTAAGACAAACTACACTGTTGGCCAAGTAAAATGCAGCACCTGCAATATCTAGAAGCCTACATGGTGTTGCATTTTACTTGGCCAGCAGTATATCAGAATCAGGTCATACTATCTGACCTAACCTTGAGTGGACATTAAAACTCTAATAAATAGTTTCCATGTGCCTGAATAAGGCCAAGATTATCAAAAGAAATTTGATCATTTCTCTTCTTGTAACTTGACCAATCCTTGGTACATGTTGCTGATAAAGACTTCCTCGTAAGCTGTGGCTATTGAAGGAATCTTAGTGATGAACTTCACACTAGATTTACCTCAACATATTATCTTATTAAATATACAGTGATTATCTGATTCAAATCTCATATGAAAGGAAATAAAATAAGCATTAACAATAATTACAGTAGAGCGTCGATTTTCCGAAAGTTAATCATCCGAAAGAATTCCAGTCGGCAAATTTAAATTTTCGCCAGTGCTGTGGCGCTTCAATCTTTGGCTATGTCTTGGGTTACTCAAATATTTTACGTTTTTGATACTAAATTAACATCTGAAGTATAATTTTTTATTATTTTTATATTTTTCAATATATTTATTTTGTTTGTACAAAATAAAAAAATAATTTTTAACGATACAATAGTCTTTGTTAGGCTTAACATCGACGAAAATTCAACGCAAAGCGACACGCAACGGAGAAAAATTTTGAAATCGGATAAGTTAAACTATTTTTTCGTACGTAAATCAGTTATCCGAAATATCAGTTATCCGGACAACCCCAGTCCCCAATTGATTCGGAAAATCGACGCTCTACTGTATTTATATACTGATGTTTCATATTCAAGTTTTGCTGAAATTCATTATTTTTTCACTTTTGCTTTTTGGAAGGAATTAAAGGAATATTTTTAGTTGTACCATTTTATAATGATTCAAATTATGAAATTTAATAATAAAACTAGAACAATTTTGGTTTTATGAAATCATTCAAGCATTACTATAGTAACTAAACACGAAACACTTGAAATGATTTGGGTGACAATAATGCAGTCAATAGTGTGTTTTAATTTTAATGGAATAAAATAATTGCTTCAAGTTCAGTCAAATTTCACAATACATTCAATTTCCTCCTAAAAAAATTTCAACAGGTTTATTCTATTGTATGGAATAAAGAGGACTGTAAATCATTTCAATACATTGACATTTCCTGTTAAATATGAATAATACAGTCATTCATGCATTACAATGAATTACATATGCCTAAATTCTAAAGTTAGCATCAAACAGCAAAAAGAATCTAGTCTGAACATGTATAATATTAAATTATAGTATATAAAAACATGTATATAACACTTAAGCAGAACAAAAAACTACTTATATATATAATTCAAAATAAAATTGTCGTCAATATTTCATACCACAAATTTTCTTTCATAAATATTTTTTCTGACATTCCACAAAAACACACTTCACAATGTAAAATGTATAAAGTAAAAATAAAACTCTTAAAAGAATTTATATCAAATGAGTGTCAAGCCATATTTTTAACAGTACATCATAATCCAATTATTTAGATGTATTAGGAACTAAGAGTAAGAATCAATGTTCCCTCTAAGCTGCATGGCTGCGCACTGCTCAAATTGTTGCCGCGCACGAGAATTTGTGCGCCGCGCAGGCGAGCATCCACACTGATTTCAATTGTTGTTTACTTATTTCTCACTCTGTCTGCAATATGATTATTGCTACGTATTTTTCGATTAAATACATTAAATCATTTTGACAAAAGATAACATTTTGTATGGAAGTATGTTTTAAAATGAATTTTAATCTCTACTTTATAATTAATTATTTAAATTTTTATAAGAAAAAATAAGATTATATATATGCTCAGAAAATTGTTTTGCTAAGAATCTGCTCAGCAAAATTATTTTTTGCACAGAGAAGTACATGTTCCGCTCAGCTACAAAAAGAATTAGAGGAAACATTGGTAAGAATGCAGGCAATCCCTAGCTTTCAGAGTTAATGTGTTTCTAAAGATATGTACAAAAGCTGAATTTTCAAAAGTTTAGCAATAGAGAGACATGTGAAAGAAGTTCTGTCCTTTTTTTTTTTTAACTGTTTCTGTCCTGTGGTAACTAAGAGGGTCCCTTATAGCAAACCCATTATGGATTATTTGGCCAAGCCCACAATGGGGCAGCCAGGTGGTGAGTAACAGGGCCAGGCATATCCAGATGGACCACCAACCGAAAAATTCATTGGGCTTTTTTTGAGCCATCTGGATTTGATCCCAAATTCCCCAGAGCAGTAGGCTGCCACCTTGACCATTCGGCCATCCAGCTGTCATGCATAAAGCATTATTTAAGATATTAAAAATCACGGATTAAACAGAAAACAGATGATAAAAACTAATTTTTACAAATGATTTTGCTATTATCAAAACCAGCCAAAAATAGTTTAAAAATTTTTTGTTAGCTAAAATACTGTACAGTTTATGAAAGTGCAAATTTAGTGTTTGAAAAACAATTCAGGAGTATCAAAGTATTATGTACAATATTACAAATTGTCCAAAAGTTAGATATCACCTGTAAATTAGACTGGGTGGTCCAGTAAATAGATAGTATCATGTATAAGTGTTGAGAAAAGTTACTGCTTAACTTTGAAGAGTT